AATTTTCCTATCTTATCTTATCGGCTAACAAGTAGGGTTTCTGAATGCAAAAAATAATATGTCAAGCTAAGTGAGACAATGCACTAAACAGGTCTAACTTGACTTGCTTCATAGTCTGTTTCAAACAAAAGCATCACCGTCATGGCACTTAAATTTTCAACTTTAGCACATTGCCACTTTGTTTTCGGCCCAACAAGCGACAAGACAACTTTTTCCTGTCATTTTAAAGTAAATTAACAATGTTTTTATAAAGGTAAAAAACTAAAAATTCACCAATAAAGCAGAAAGTTAAAGATTTGTACACACAAAGATATCTGACAGGAAAGGGCTATGGGATGCATGCTTAGAGTTAGGGTAGAATCCGTCTTAAAACTTTTGTCCGATTTGTTTTTGAAGTTAGAATTTGGATGTTTCAATTTTTTTTTATGTTTTGACAGTGAGATGGGGAGCTATCCATCTTGGATTCTCAAACAACACTGATCCTGAACCAGGACGGTGTCGTAGAACAGATGGAAAGAAATGGCGGTGCTCGAGAGATGTGGTTGCCGACCAGAAGTATTGCGAGCGGCATATGAATAGGGGCCGCCATCGTTCAAGAAAGCCTGTGGAAAGCAAATCAGGCCATTCTGCTGCAGCCACTGCCACCACTACCTCCAAGTTGATGCCTGCTGTCTCATCCTCTTCAGCATCAGTGGTAGTGTCAGTCAGTGGCAGCAGCGAGTCCAATAGCCTTACCGTTGCTCAGCAGCAGTTCAAGAATTTGCAGGCAATGGCAGTTCCAGTTAACAGGTGGTAGAATTAACTTCCCACCATTTATTCCATGTTTGTAACCTGCATTATAGATAATCTGCTCATTTGTTACTTTATACCGCTTTCCTTTATAAAGGATGATTTGTAGAATTTACTTATCTACTGAATTCCTTTGAATCTCACAGTTGCCAGTCTTATTTGTACTGTTTAAGTAAAAGTCGGCTGTGAATTGTACTTTCGGTTAGCCATTGATGGATTCTAATTCTATTGGTTAATGTTGTTGTTGCAGGTTGCTTGTGAACAAAGAAACTTTGGGTGGAATATTACATGAAAGTGCACCAGGGCTCTCCATGATATCCCCCAACATCAATCTAAAATTCAAAGAAAACCCTTTCTTGATTCCGAAGCAGCAATCGATCTCGTATGAAGAGAACTCGAGAAATGAGTTCGGAGTTGTTTCCTCTGACTCATTCCTTACCCCTTCCCATAAGGACTCTTCCTTGATTAACTGCAGAAATTTGGGTTCTCAAGACCTTACTCGTCAAGCAACTGAACTGCAGCATTCCCTTCATGAATTCATGGATGATTGGCCTAAATGCCAGTCCGATCATTCAGCCATTTCTTGGCCTGAAGTTGATGTTAAATCAGACATGACTCAACTTTCCATATCAATACCAACGGCTGCCTCAGATTTCATGTCCTCAACTTCCTCTCCTAATGAAAAATTGTCCCCATCGCCTCTCAGATTATCACGTGAATTCGAACTTGTACACATGGGACTAGGTGTAGGCTGTGTTATTAATGAATCAAACCAGAGGCAAGCAAGTTGTATACCCATCTCTTGGGAGAATTCCATGGGTGGTCCCCTTGGTGAGGTATTGCACAGCAACAACTCATCAGCACTTAACCTTATGACAGAAGACGGGTGGGGATAATAGTTCTAGGCACAGATCATCTCCCACTGGAGTCTTGACGAAGACTACCTTTGCTTCTCTTTCTAACAGCAGTGCCGGAAGCAGTCCAAGAGCAGAGAATAACAAGACTCATGAAGACGCTAGCCTTTGCAATGACCTCGGTTCAACCGTCGTTCATTCTTCTCTTTGCCTGCGTTGTAAACCCCTGGAGTCAATTAGTTACAAAACTCGAGTTATTATGTTAATCCTGGGCAAAGGAAGTTTGTCTAAAATTTTGATTTTCAGCAATATTATATTGCACATGTATCGGAGTTTGATGAGTAGTGGCGGTTTGTTGGTAAGTATGGCGGTGGATAAGTTGTTTGTAATGTGGATGTACGAGGAAATGCAGTCTAATATAAGGTTAAGGAAAGATATAATTAAAAATATTAATTTGTTTAAATATTTTTGGTGAAATGCTATCTAAAATATTAATTTTGTAACTGAAAATGTTAAAAAATTAATATATTAGGTAACAAAATTAATATTTTAGATAGTGTTTTACTAAAAATATTTAAAAAATATTAACATATATTATTGTATATTTTTTTTAGTTTTATATTAAAATGTCGTACATTAGAACTACTAGTTGTAATAGTCTGTACAAGGTTACAGTTTCAATATAAACTGAATTCCACTATTCTGAACTACGAAGTATGGTACCAGCCATTATTGTGTCTAGGAAAAAAGAACCCATATCCAGGGATATCTTTCCTTGAAAATTGAAACTGTTAAAAGTGATGGGTCAGACTTTGCGGAAACAGTCATATGTTACTTTCACAGTTTCCTTTATGTTTAAGAGTCCAACCAACTTTGAACCAGCCTGGTCCCTGGATGGATGTGAACATTGGCCGATAGGCTTATTTCACTTGCCACTTCTATGTCCCAATTACCTATCCAACACTGTTCTGCAAAAGATAAGACCCCAAGCAATAATCATTATAATTGCTTGGATTTGGATAGTAGTGTTAGATACAAGTTTGATACGTATGCTCAGTTTTTTTTTTCCTTGAGTTTTTCACGTGTTTAAAGGATCCTTGGAGGGCTTGCATTTTTATGGAATATGTTGTTCTTTCTGCAGAATGGTCATATCAGTTTTCCATTAGAGTCCATTAAGCTATATTTCTCCAATCTCAATGGTTTATTTCAAAGATACAAAATTTGACAAACTCCAAAACCTAACCAGTTATACTCTTTATAGACTCACTGAATTCAAGTATCTACTCTGTCTCACATCATAGCAGCATAAATACTGATGTGAAAACGATCAAGACATGAGAATTTGCTCCTCTGATAGAAGAGACATGAAGCATGCAGAATCCTTTTGTGAATGAATGGTACAAATTTTTTATTAATTTCCTTTGCAATCCATAGGTTTTAACCAAGGAAATAAAGACCAATGAGTCGGGCAAAAGATTCTGGAAGGAAATCCTGTTATCATTTTTCATGCATCCATACACAAACCAGAGCCATTGCTCTTGTTCTCTGCTTAATTTGGCATCAAATTGTCATTAATAGAATTTCACGTTAGCTTCAATAATGCTAGTACTGAATATACAAAGCAAGCACCCACGTTCACGGATGGACCAAGGAGGTGCTAACCTTGATAATTTCAAATTCCCATATAGATTATGTACTTTCTTTATATTTTCTATTGATGATCTAATTTTACTACCTCTAAAATTTTATAATTTTATACCCTAAATATCTAATATAATTTCCTAAATTCACACATTTAACATAGAATCATGTGTCCGTCCCCGTATATGATCACCTAAGATGATGTAAATAATGATATACATGAATTGAAAGACTGCTCACCAATTCCCCTTCCAAATACTATGTGTGCTCTGCAGTCTGCTCAATGCTCATATTTTTGTAGGTGTCGGTAGGGCTGTAAATAAGACGAGACAGACCGCGAGCTACTCGAGATCGACTTGATCAAGGCTCGATAAATACTCGGATCGAATGAATTTGACTCGAGCTCGAGCTCGACTCGAGTTCTTAACGAGCCGAAACGAGCTACTCGATATTCGACTCGAAAAGCTCGTGAGCAACTCGAAAAAAATGTCATATTATAATTTTAAATTTTTTAAAATTACAATATTAAAAATATATTATTGATAATTATAAAATTTTAAAAATATATTAAAAATTCTATAATACAACTACCCTCAAATTTTAATTTTTTTAATTAATTAGTCCAAATTCAATTGTTACATTATATATTACTAAAAGAAAAATAAAAGCTCATTTAATTAAACAAATGTTAGATTACACGTATTTGGTTGATTTTTTTCTTTCTTTTTTAACTTTTTACTGCATAAATACTTGACAATGTAGAAAAATAAAATAAAAAATAATAAAAAGCAGCCTAACAATAGAAAAATTGAAAATAGTTAAAAATTATTTTTGAATAAATATTCTTATATTTATTTTAAATTAATAAAAATTATTTATCTAATGAAAAATATTTAATATATTTCTAATGATAATATTTTTAATAACTAATTTTTTAAATTGTTGTTATAATTTGAGGTTTCGGGTTCAAATATCATAAATGTCAAGGGTTTGAGCATGTAATATCAAGATACTATATTGTACTTACCTCATAAATCGGTACCAAGTCGATTAATTAATGTATTTATAATGAACCCTAAACCTAAACATAAAACCCTAAACCCTAAATACTAAACCCTAAACCTAATTATATGATAGGGGTTAAGTTATGCACATGAAGGTAATATACAAATTATGCAAAATGATGTTATGTGACTCCTAAATAAATCATTCGCATACTTATACATAAACATATTAACATGCAAAATAAATATACACAACTTGCTGATTGATACATGATTTTATCATATCTTTATGATGACTATCGACACCGTCATTGCTTTCAAGCACTGACTCACCAACATAATATTTCAAGAACTAACTCGACGACATAATGTAAACAGAGATTTGATGTACAAATACAACTACAACGATGAGATCATATTTTATCATACCTTAGTTAACAGGTTAGCATCAATATCATACAATCACCATCGGTGTCAAAACATTCGTATTTTACTCTTCTTTATTCTCATAGGAATATTTTCTATGAAATTCACTCAAAATCGATGAAAATCCATTCAAAATTTTGATATACTAATATTTCGATCTATTCTAACGATTGTCCAACAATACTAATTTTGAAATATGTTATTTGTATTTTCGAAATAATACTTCTTATTCTTCAAATTTTCAAATAGAAAACTTCAAATCCCTGAAATTTAAGAAAGTCACCAATCCTCATGTCTCCAGCAGACAAGCTGCCGCTGATTTAGAAGATTTACGAGTGTACATAAGAAACAGGGTCCTGACTCGTTCAGAGTCGGTCACATTCTGAAACAAATATATCTTATATATCTGGTGTGCACAACCAATTTACAAAAAGGTAACCAAAGGCTTATCCAGATTTGGATGAAATCAAAACTTCCCTCAACATAGAACAACACTTAACCTTATTCTTCAGATACTCTGGATTTGTAGAGAGGGCCTGAACCAAAGCACTTCTATCCTGTCAAAGGGAGTAACAATGAAATATGAGCATTTAGCATGAAGGGCATTTGCTAAAACATGTTTACGAAACCAATAATTATTATGACATATTGATGAGACAGTTTTGCTAGTTCATACGTATATACACCTCTGCTATTTCGTTGGTCAATGAAGCATCTGCTATTTCGTTGGTCAATGAAGCATCCCAATCATCCAAAACCAGTATAATATAATATATTACTAGGTGAAGCGCAGATAAGTCGAACAATTCACAAACCACGCACATCAGACAAGTTTGAAACTAGCCAACTGAAGCATGCAGGCCTTGGGTCAGATATATAAACAGCACATACAGATTCATGTCAGTAGTTACACGAATTGAAAGCAAACTTTGCAGTAATTTATCTTAGTGAAACTTAAAAAGAAATTACCACAATGATAATGTACATAAATCAGATTGTCAACCAATATGCAGACAAAATGCAAAGGGTAGTGAACAGGAATTTTACTTTTGTTGCTATATGCAAACAAGTAGAGATGGCATACCTTTACCCAAAGTGCTGAACAATCAAAATTAGTTAGAAACCAATGGTAAGGTCATGTGAAATTGTTTCACTCAGCAACTCTGGTGAAAGTGCATAGTTGGTAGAAGAGTTTGCCTTTTGCAGCCTACAATTCTCAGGATGGATTCCTGCTATCTGCCATTGAATGGTAAATATGTGATTCGATTAGCTCAAACAGACAACATGAGTATTTACTACAGTGGCTAAATAATATACATAGATCAAGTAATCGTACACCATTTGAACATCATCAGATTCTCATTAATCTCACATAAAGGAGTAAAGAAATAAAACTAGAGATGGACCCTAATTCACATGGATACCTGGCAGGCTTTTTGCAAGGAAGAATGTGTTTGATCGGATGCATAAACTACAAGCTTTTCAAGCGCATCTTTTCCAACCACCCTCAAAACATTGTCACGGGCAGCCAATAATACAACTAGAACAGCTTCACTTGCCGTGCCCTGAATCACTCTGCCACCTTGTCCTGCGACACAGTTACTGATCTCATTCCATAAACTTTAGAGATATTTTACACTTTCATTCTTGTGGTGCTAGAAAGAATTCAATGAAAATGCCTCGACCCAAAATTGCATTCTATATCAGAATTTTTTAAATAAAAGAAATCCCAAGTCCTTGCCTGCTGAAAGGAAATCTTCAGGTAGCTTAAGCATCTTAGCAAGCCAATCCAAAACAATCATTTCGAGCTCAGTTGCAGCAGGAGATGTAATCCAACTGAAACCAACAATATTGATACCAGTACTAAGCATTTCTCCCAAAAATCCAGCAACACTGCTATTGGAAGGATAGTATGCAAAATAATTTGGGCTCTGCCAGTGAGTAACCTCTGGCAATATATTTGCCTGAATGTCTGCAATCAGAAGAATATTTATTCATGAAAAAGAATACAATGCAATAACTAGAGTATTTATTTAGGGGAACCAGGATTTATTAACTCAGAGCTGTCGAGTTTCGGGAGAGAAGAAGAGGAGGAAGAAGAAGATGCACAGTATACGATATTTAGCTTGAAAGATAAAATGCCTTTCCTTCAGATGCTCCAAAGCGTTGAACTTGAGTTGGTCATGTGAGTTGATATCCCACATCGGTGGTTCTTGGGGAATAAGGGGTAAAGTCGAGTGTATAAAAGGGGACGGGTTTCAACAAATGAAAATTAACCCCACCTCGAGCTTGAATCGAGCTCAAATTTGAGCTTCAATCGAGCTCGAGTCTCGAGCTTCAATCGAGCTCGAGTCTCGAGCTTCAATCGAGCTCCTGAAATTTTTTGAGTTCGAGCCTTTTCGAGTTCGAGTTGAGTTTTAATAATATATTTCGAGTTCGAGCTGAGCTTCATATTTTTTAGCTCGCGAGTTTTCGAGTCGAGCCTACGTTTAAAGTTTTCGAGTTCGAGTCGAGCTCAGCAATACTTGAGCTCGACTCGGCTCGTTTTCACCCCTACCGTGTCAGACATTATTCAGAGATGAATTCTTTTGCTCAATTCCTAAATTAGTCAAATAATATCACAGATACAAGAAAAACATAAAGCAACAAATGAATGCTAGAAAACTTGAGCAGCAATGATAATACAGTCCACCAGAAAGCAAAGAATATAATTCAATCAAAAGTTCATGGATATAAATCACCTTAGCACAATCAACTTCTGAATTCAAAGACCAAAAGCTCTACCATGGTAAATATAGCATAATGTTATGGAAACTGTGAAAAACAAGACAACAATTACCAAATTTAGAAGAAACTCATAAATCAAACTCTGCTAAGAGGACGTAGATTTTAATTTCTTCGTGCATTTTACTAGAGGATATGTATTCTTTATCACTTTTTTCCGAACCTTCTTCACAGTTTTAGCTTTCTTTGACTTCAGTCACAGCCTGCATTTCCCTTATAGGACCTGGACGTATCCCTTGCTTAAGTGCACTTCCTCTAGGAGTAACAGAGGAAGGTAACCTCAAACTTAATGGAGGTAATGGACCGTGGGGCTTCCAAACCAAGTTGTTTTTCATTGAAAATCGTACCCTCTTCATGCTATTTTCTCAAGTTTTCATAGTTCCACCGTCTTCAACATCAGCTTCACTGGTTAGATGCCCATTCTGAAATTTTTGGTCATCCATACTCTTTGCTCTCTTTCTCTTCTTGGAGACAGCACCATTAACTTTTGGCAAATCACAAGCACTTGCAGCATCACCATTCTAACCTACTTCTGCAGCAACCTTCTCAAACTGGAGCTGAAGGTTAGAAACCACTGATTCAGTAAATGTTATAGAATCCCCATCACCATTCTGCTTGATATTAGAACTGGTATCCTCTGCAGGTAACATCATTCTCTTGATCTGCAGAGCTACATGCAGCTTCCTTGCTTTTCTTAGTCTTTTTACCACTGCCCCCAGATGCCGTTTTGACCTTTTTGCTTTTCTTCACCGCCTTCTTTGCAGAACCGTTAATATTAATTCCCTCTGAAACATCATTAGAAACATCCACCTCACTAGCAATAGGTATTAATTCAGGCACCTCATCTTCTTCACTGTCTTCATTAATCTCAGGAATCGAAATATCAATACCCAATGACGTCAAATCCTTCTTCAACTTCAAGAATTCCTCATGTAGAGCTAACACAGTCTTCCTATTGCCCTGACAGCAATCCACTGAAGAACCCAATTCATAAAACTTCGCGGAGAACCCATCACCAAACAAATGGTCCCCAACATAACCACATCGTCGTCATCATCAACATTGTCCCCAGACCTCTTAAGTTCCAGCAATCTCCTTCCCATTTTAACAAACACATCAAACACATTACTTCTTATCTTCCCAACCAAAATCTTATCATCCACTTTCCCCAAGATTCCAACTAATGGTTCCAACAGAACCTCAACAACCTCTTTTCTTATTGGAAGAAAGGGCTTTATTTCCTCGAGAAAAACTGAAGCAATGTGATAATTAACGCCATTCCCTTGAAACTTATCATCAGCTAAAAATGTTCTATCAACAAACACCCTAATCGAACGAAGCGTAAACTCCAAATCCCACGACCGTTTCTTCAACATAACAAAAAAAGCGACTCAAAAACCTACGAATTAAGGGGGTAAAACTTATCTAACCTTAAATTGTCAATCCCGGGCCACTCGCGACGCATTGTAAGAAGGAAAACAGAGAAATATTGGAGAGGTAGACTAGGTTCGAGCTTCGGAAGAACCGAGGAAAGCTTTTCGATGAGGTCGGACTGAGCCGGCATCTTGTCGGCGTGCCAAACGCAATAGAAGAGACCTTTCCAGAGCTTCTTCATCTCTTCATCGGAGATTTCACTCCGTGAAGGAAGCCACGAATTGAGGAGAGACCTTACGGCTCTGTCTCGGCTCGACTTGTCGCAAGCCGCTAGTAGATTTATCAATGCCGGGCCTTCTCCGACCCCGGATTCCGTCATATTCAGCGTGTTTAGAAATTAGTTACAGGGGTGTAAAAAGCTGATCTTATAGTAAAATTGATTAAAACCGATTGAGTCAAAAATAATTTTGATATGGGTTGCGATGATCCGAAATCGATTTGAGTCGAAATTGGGGTTGATCTGAATTTAAATTAGACCTAAAAATTATGGATCCAAACTCAAATTGCACCAGACATGAGAACGATATGAACCCGAATTATTCCGAAAATATGATACATGAACTTGAAATTGACCTAGTAAATAACTAGTATTACTGATGTTTTCAACCTGACGTGTAAATGACCCAACTTGTTATTGACTTTATATGACATTTACCTGACTTTTATATTATTATTGATGAAATTATAAGATTTTAATAAAATTTTGAGATTTTGAGTTTATAATAATACTAATTAGTATAGTATGATTAATTTTTAAATGTTATAATAAAATATTAATTATAATAATTAAATTAATAAATATATTTATTTTATTAATTATAATTCTTATATTATGATTTATAAATCTTTAATATAATCATTAATTTTATTTTATTAAGTAATTTATGTATTGAAAATTATTAATTAAATTAATTATAATGATTACAAGTTAGATTAATTTATATATACTATATAGTTTATTAAATGACCATTTAAAATTAATGAATTATATAATATATAGTTTATATATACTATATAATTTATATATACTAATGAACTATATAATATATAGTTTATATATACCATATAGTTTATATATACTATATAGTTAGAATAAATTTATTTTCTATATTAATTTTGATCATTAGATAAAAAAAATTAATTATGACCAATAAATTAGTTTTATTAAATGATTTATTTATTGATTATTAATTTTACTAGATTAAAAATTAGATTGTATAAAATATCAATAAGTTTATATCGTTATTATAATGTATAAATGATTAATAATTTAAATAAAATAATTAATATAAGTAAAGGATTAAAATAAAATAAATTTAAACTTAAGGGGCTTAACTAAGTGTTTAGAAACTATCCTATGACTAAATTAAACAAATAAAAAATTGCAAGCTGAAATTAAAAGCAATTAAAATACGCATGAAGATTAATTTGAAACAATTAAAAGTTTTAATTTAAAATTAATATTGAATTGGAACTAAATTAAATTAATTTAAATTGAGGATCCTAGTGTCCCAACAACGGTGACAATAAACATCATTAAAAATATAATTTTATCATATTATAATCAACAAGTTAACATTCAATTTAGACAACCTTCAATTTTTAACGAAAAAGGATTAGTTTGGAACATATAAATAGTTAAGTTACCGTTTTATAATTTTTAATAGTCAATGACTCAACAAAACAACATCCTCTAATTGATGAATTATTTTGTTACTTTTAATAGTTGAGAAACTCAATAAAAAGCGTCCTATAATTGAGGTATCATTTATATATTTTACCCAGAATATTAATCACATAATTATTATATGGTATGTATGAATTAAAGTAATTGTATAATAATTTAGAAATGACATTTTAGAGTGCAAAACGACACCGAGTTGCCAGGCAACTAGTAGAGAGCAAGGGCAAAACTGGCGGGTCCCAAGGTTGATTTTGGCGAGGATCAATTTTGCAATTGGCAGGAAGCTAAATTTTGGAAGGGTAAATCTGGAATTTAATCCGCGTTACGGTCTTAGAGTGCTCAGATTTTTATTACAAAGCGCGTGAGAAATACTAATAAATTGTCAAATTGGAGCTGATGGAGCCCAAGGAAAGTTGACGGCGCGTTGGAATACTTTCAAAGCGAGGGCGATTATGGTATAAAACAGGGCCAACGATTATAGACAATGACCCCTTTTTTAGTTTTAATAAAAAATTCCCTTCACCTATCTTTGAATTAATATAAAAATAATTATCTAAATTATACCTTAAATTTATTTTATATGTTTAAATAATTTTATTTAAAATAACGTTTCTAACGTTATGACCTTCAATGGTGGAACTCAACATTATTTGTTTGAGAGGCATTTAAAAAAATATATATCAGTTATAATATTTTACTACTTACTTCAACTAAAATGAAATTAAAAATTAAATACTGAATAACTTGATTGAAGTCCTCAACTTAAAGAAGATAAACAACCAAACAAAAAAGAAGACAAAAAAAATTATATCTTGAAATTTGAAATAATAAAGGATATTTTCATTCATTTAAAAATTAAACAATAATAAAAAAATGAATGTTAACTCTTTTTAAAAAAATGATAACTAAATTTTTAATACCATATTCCAATGTTATAGTAAATAAAACCATGTATATATACATAAATTAAATTTTAAGTTAAATTATATTTAAATTATTAATCATTTATACATTATAATAACAATATAAACTTATTGATATTTTATATAACCTAATTTTTAATCTAGTAAAATTAATAATCAATAAATAAATTATTTAATAAAACTAATTTAATGGTCATAATTAATTTTTTTAATCTAATGGTCATTATTAATTTATACTATTAGTTTATATATACTAATGAACTATATAATATATAGTTTATATATACTATATAGTTTATATATACTAATGAACTATATAATATATAGTTTGTATATACCATATAGTTTATATATTATATAGTTTATATATACTAATGAA